CCTGCAACCAAGATTCACAGGCGGGGTCAAAAGGTGATCAAAACCAAGCCTATGTGCTTCCCTATGTGGTTCCCTGTGTGGTTCCTCCTGGTTCCTTGTTTTCACTTGGTCCATTGGAAAAGCTTCGGAACAAAATGGGAAGCAAGGATTTGTCCTTCACATGCTGGTAGTGCAAACGGAAGTCTTCTGCCTGAAAGTAGTGAAGTTTCAAGCAATCAGCAACTTGGGCCAGTGTCAAGTCATTCAGGACCCCCATTATCTGCCAAAATCCGCCGACCCCTGCCTAGCCTTGGCCTAGGCCTAGGCGGGGCGCTGGGACCACGGCAGGTGTGCAACAGAGCTAACCCGTTTTGTAATTCCACCCCATGCAAGGCAACAAACAGGGCCTCAGTTTTACAGGTCTGGCGCCAGTGGCCACGGATTCTCAACCAAAACTTCTCGTCCTTTGGCAAGACGTGAACGTATGATCCATGCCATCCATTGCAAAACCCGGTACCACTCCCTGCGTTGTGCGAGGATCTTCTCCTTGGTGAACTCATCCTTCGCCATGTTGACATGTTGCCAGCTGGACCACGGACCGCAAATCGGTGTATCAATGAAAATGTGTACAGCATGATTTTATTGTGAGAACCGAACGTTATGAGCGCCCCCCCCCCCCCCCCCCCCCACCCCACCCCCCAAACCCCAAAACCCCTGGAAGCAAAAACACTGCAAAACGCAGTACGAAATGCATGCTTTTCTGTCTCTGCGCACGTTAAGTCGACGTCGGAGGGAACAACAAGGACACACGTTCTTCAACTACAACACACTTTCCGCAGAATGTGCTGGCCCTGCGCAGCTAGAGACAAAGGTGCTGAGGGCTGGAGAGAGGACCATGCATGGGTCACGGTGGAGCACAATAAGATGGTCAGCAACAACAATCACCGCGTGGATACGGGTAGAGTACACCCACCCGGGAAAGTCAGTGCAACGTCCGTTTGGGACTTGAATCCTACTGGTACGCCGCGCATTCGGGAAGTCAAAGAAGTCAGTGCAAAAGTATCCAAATCCTATTGGTACGCCGCATGTCAAACAATGTTGATTTCAGCTGTTTTTTCTTCTTTTACGTGTAGATCCTATTGGTACGCCACATATCAAGCAGTTGATTTTTTGTTTTTTGACTTGTAGATCCTATTGGTACGCCGCATGTCAGGCAGTGTTGGTTTCAGTTGATTTTTGTCTTCTTTTACTTGTAGATCCTCTTGGTGCGCCGCATGTGAAGCAGTCTTGAATTTAGTTTAGTTGATATTTCGTTTTTTACCTGTAGATTCCTAGGTATAGGCTACATCCAGGATTTTCTAAAACAAGAAGAGTTTGCAAGAATTACTAGTCAAGCAGGTTATTCCGGCGATACCCCAAAAGTAACACCAAGGCAGTCTTGTCAGGAAGATGTTTGTATTTGTGTTGTGGTTACCGCTGCTTTTGTTCACCTTCCAAGATATACCAACCGCATTGTGCTGCAAACAGATTGACTCCTTTTGATCCATCCCTACATGCCTGCATGCTCCTATGAGCCTCCACCACTGCATACACAGCACCATGTACACAACATGTTCTACATCGTTTTGGAATCAAGGTTTGAAATGCAAATCCCAACGGTATTGTGGCAATATGCCTTCTCAGGGCTCTACCAAATCGCATGCAAACTCACTATGTGAAGAAAAAGGAACATGCAGTCCCCCAGCTGTATGCAACACGCACCGACTTCCTCAAAATGCTTCCCCAAGCTGTACGCAACAGAAAGTGCAAACGCATCGACTTTTCAAGTCAAGTGTAGGCGGGCATTAATACAAGCGGGAAATGCCCGTTTATGTTGAACAGCTGGGAAAAAAGTTTACATATTTTATATTTATGTCCGGTGTTGAAATACTTTTGCGCCTTCATGTATTTCGGCTTTGGTTATCAACATGTCAGGGTTCGTTCTCCCAGTGCAGTCCTGAACATTCTGGAAGCATTACGACCACTAACTGCGTTCATGTTGTCCTAACTGGCTCTTACCAATCGGCGTCGGCCACACAATGCAGAAGAATGCAGAACTGGCACAACAGTTGAAACTGTTCAACCAAGCGTATTCCGAAAGTTAAAGTGTTGCAACAGTGTCATTAACAGTCACAGTGCGCAACAGTGTTGCACTCGAGGCACAGCGGCTGCAACGAAAGCTAGCAGGGGAAAGCTAGCAGCGGGAAGTGCATAATGCTGAGGGCAAACGAAGATGTAAGAGTAGGATGACGTGATGATGATGATGATGATGATGATGATGATGACGACGAGGATGAGGAGCAGGAGGAGGAGGAGGAAGAGGAGGAGGAGGAGGGTGGGGAGGATGAGGAGAATGAATGAGGAGAGTGATGATAAGGACGAGGATGAGGAAGCTGATGTGGATGTAGACCTGGATGTGGATGTTGGATTTCGGCGTGTTTTCAATCCAGGGAAGGGGGTCCTCTGAGTGGGTCTGCTTTCGTGACTGTCCAGGCCCCCAGCCTGAACTCTTACGTGGGCCGCCTGGCACATGCAAGCCACTCTTCATCTATGCAAATTCAATGGTTCACGTATGCAAGTTGAATGCAAGTGCGCCGGCGATTTTTCCCGAAGAACCCTTGCATGTGAGGCCCCAACAAGACCACCAGCTGCCAGGCTTGCCACAGGCAATCAAATATTCTGCGCCGGCCTAGCACCATTTCCTCGGAGCATCTGCAGTTGGGCTGCGCTTCCTGACGAAGACCCACGGAAAGACCCGCTTCATGTTTTCCTTCATTGGTACAAAATCATTCAGTGACAAATGGAACGAGATCGGACCTTGCGTCGTGTGGCCAAGTTGCGCCCAGGCGCCCTTCTTTTTTAGAGTCACCTGAATGTGTAGGGGGGTCGGGCATTGGTCCAATCGTGCGTCAACCGGGCATTTTCCAGCGTCCGGTTCCGAGTCAGCAGCAGCGACGCACACTTGGGCAGCAACTGCGGAGGTTTTCTAAGCTCAGTCCAGCGAAACAACAACCGGCCCATTTGCACCTCTGGCATCTGACGTGATCCATCCGGAGCAATGCGGAGGGTACCTCTGTAGTACTATGATCGGCATGCGGATGACCGTGCCATCGCCGCACGGCACAACGACCGTCTCCCCCGACTGCATGACTGTTGCCAAAGGTGGCAACCGGCAAACGACGACAGATTCTAAGCTCCTTGTGGCTCTGACAATCGTCTCGATCTGGCACTGCCAGGAGATGCCCGTGCCCAGCTCTTCAAAGGCAGGGCGCGGGAGGAGTTTGCCTGAAGATTGTCTGGCAAAGTACAGTCTTGAAAAGAAACGTGGCAAAGCAAAGCATGTCAATGCTTGTGAGCGTGACATAATGCGCATTGAAACTGTATTGCAACAGCAAAATGGCTAGCAGGATCCCCCGGGATCGCAATGTGCGACTGAGATATCGGCGAATCAAGGCATTCAAATGCCTCTGCGCGCCCTGCTCAAGGAACTTATATCTGTTACATGTCTTGAAACTGCTGTTGGGCACTTGTCGTTCCGCTGGGCCCAGGCCGGCCCCAAGGAGTCTATCTGTTACGGGTCTTGAAACTTTTCGTTCCACTGGGCCCAAGGCCGGCCCAAGGAGGCATCTGTTACATGTCTTGAAACTGCCGTTGGGCACTTTTCGGTCCACTGGGCCCCGGCCCTAAGGAGTCTATCTGTTACGGGTCTTGAAACTGCTGTAGTGCACTTGTCGTTCCACTGGGCCCAAGGAATCTATATCTGTTACAGGTCTTGAAACTGCTGTTGGGCACTTGTCGTTCCACTGGGCCCAAGGAATCTATATCTGTTACAGGTCTTGAAACTGCTGTTGGGCACTTGTCGCTCCACTGGGCCCAAGGCCGGGCCCAAGGAATCTAAATCTGCTATACAAGTTTTGAAACTGCCGTTGGACACTTTTCGTTCCACTGGACACCGACACATCCTCTTTTCCGGGGTTTGGAACTGCCGCTCGCACCCTTTGGTTCCACACGGCCTCACTTGCCCTGCTTCGTAACCGTTTCGAAACAGCCGTTGGCCTCCTCTGGTCCCAGACAACCCCCGCCTGCCCAACCTTGCAAAGAGTCTTTGCGCTGCAGCTTGCCACCATTGGTTCTACAGGCCATACCTGCCCATCCATATCAAGCCTTCGAAGCGTGAACTGTTCTTTACCACCTTTGGTTCTACAAACCCCTGCCTGCCAAGCCTTGTAAAGCCTGTCAAAAACCCCCTGGCCGCCCCTGCCTGCCTGCTTCGAAACGCCCGCAAATGGCTGTTGCATGCAGGTTGGGTCTTCCTCTTGCCTCCCCGAGCCACCTCCCGAGCCAACTCCAAAAGAGGGGGGGTCGGCGGCACCAGGGCGTTAGCCCATTCCGGCGATGCCTCGCCGTTTGTGGTGGCAGCTAAGCTTTAGCTACCCGGGGGCGCGCCGCTGCCGCCGACCCTCCCCTAAAATCCTTCAGCCTGCTGGGGTTTTCGGGGTGGGAAAAAAGAGGGTAAAATTTGAAGATGCGTTTTGAAAGTCCTTGTTGGACGTTTTTTGGTCGTTTTTTGGTCAATTTTTCATATAATTTTTTGGCACTGTCCATGCGTAAAAATCGTGTAATTTACCATGTTTTTGTGCCTTTGGCATCCAAAAAAAGCTTCTGACAACATGCAGGAAACTGCGTAAATACCAGTGTTTTGCTAGGCCCGGGCCACAAAACACTGTAAATACCGTGATTTTTGCTAGCAGAGGCTCAAAACCTCGTAAATACCGTGGTTTTGCGCTGGCGCGGAGCCAAAAACATCGGTATTTACGGTGTTTTTTTGTTCCGAGAATGTGAAAAATCGCGAAAACACCGCCTATTTGAAAAGCTTTTTGGGGGTTTGCAAAAACCGTCGATTTGACGATTTTGGGGGGTTTGCAAAAAGTACCAACTACAAAGATAACAACGACAACGCCAACAGGACCAAGCAGCAACAGCTATAACAACAATAACAACGACAACAACAACAACAACAACCACGACGACGACGACGACGAAGACGACGACGACAACAACGACAACGACGACAACGACGACAATGACGACAACGACGACAACAAGGACAACGACAACGACAACACGAACAAGAACGAGAACGAGAACGAGAAGGAGGACCAGAAGCAACAACAACGACGACAACAACAACGACAACGACGACGACGACAATGACGATGACGACAACGAAGATGCAGCTCGCAGCATGTCATGTCCGCAAGTTCAGATGAAATCCCCCTCTCTCTTTCCCTACAGGCATCGCCGGTGTGCGAAGCTCTACAATTATTCCTTACGGGAACTTCCCAAACTTCCTGGAGTTTCGGGTTTGGGGCCCTTGGGCTCCCAAATTTGTCAACTCGACCTGCCAAAAATGCCACCGGTAAAGCCACCTGGCTCTCAAGGCGATCTGCGAAGGACTGACTTTGCTCGAAGCGCCCTTCAGCCTGGGGCGATCCGGGGAGATCCGGGATGAACATGATGAAAACGATGGAGATCACTTGAGAGATCTGGATGTGTTTGATCCCTTTTGTGTGTTCCAATCCATGTATTTTTTTGATCTCATCTTGCGACTTATTTCTTGTCATGACCGGCAACTTTGAGGTCGGGTCCGAAGGATCTGCCCGGCGCTCCCGGTCTGCAGCGGACAAAGTTTGGATGTGGTCCTCGTAAACCAAGCGCTCCTGGCTGAGCGATGGCTCAGCCCATGATGGCTCAGCCCATGAACCCTTGGCCCTGGGTAGTTCGTTTTGACCAAAGATTGTTGGCACCTCGTGCAAGCGCCGTTTCAAGGTGTCGCCACCATGCCGCGCCAAAGACAATTGCAACTCCTGTGACACAAAAATGCAGCATGTGATCCTTTGCCATGAAATCGAAAGTCATACCCAACATTGCCCAACTCAAGAGGAACTGCAACTCCAATGAAGTGCAAATACGTACCTCAACAGATTGTGCGTGCACCATGTGGATATACGATATACACAAATGAACAGTAATGAACACCAAATGAACACCAAAACGGAGGGATCGGTTGAGTCAGTTGAGGGATCGGTTGGGGGCCCTTTCGAGAGTTTGGTACGCCGGGTGCGGAGCCATGACCATGGGTCCATGGCCATCCTCTTGGAGTTTCTCTTGTGCCCTGAGGCGCTGTTGCACCCCAGCGAGCTCATGGGCCAAACGCAGAACTCCAGCACGGGCAGCCTGCAGCTCCCAGCTCCATGGACTCATCTTCAAACGGAAACGTCATAGGCATATATAGGTATTTCACAAAATAAGCAATGTGTGAAAATTGTGTGAAATATACGAAAAATAACATGGTTTCATTGCAAGAATACTATTTGTTGGTAGACTTATTGGCCACCTCTATGGGGGGGAACCAGTGGGTTTAGCGCTGTGTTGCGTCCCGAAACATACCACGTACACATCCTGAGTATTGGATCCCGCTGTGTTTTCACGGCATCCCACCTTGAGGCTTCCAAAGTCCTTTGGAGACAGGACGGGAACAGAGTCGATCAGCTTTAGAACACCCTGCACCTGCAGCAACTGAAAAGCAAATCACACAACTCCTGGAAGCAAAACAAGTGTGTGAATGTCCGTCACAACACACCATTATCAAAACGATTGACATTTCACTAGGCCAACGTAAATTCGACAATGTAGGATGTCGCATGTTTCTGAAGGTGATTCGTAGACAAAAGAAAATTGCGGCATCGGGCCTTTTGTTCTGGCGGAGGAGAATGCGGGCTTCGCTTGCGAACCCGCCTCCAAGGGACAGTTCAAACGAATACCATGTACCATCCGCAGTCTAAAGTGTACAGAATCCAAAAACAGCTTGTTCAAATTCATGTTAGCATTTTGAAGCATTCTGTCATTTTCTTCCAAACATGCTTCCTTGGACAAAATCACCCACCATGCAATCTTTTAGTGCGAATGAGTGTAATTTGCTCCAAATTACAGATGTTACAGGGAGAGTATTTGCATGCGCCTGGGAGTGGTCAACGGAGTCCAGGGACTTGGCGCCGGCGTGGTTTGACCGCTGGGACATTGCCGCTGTCGTCTGGGCGTATTGGGCGTGGCAGTCGCGTTGGGCGTGGCAGTCGCCGCCTTTGCCCGCGGGGAACTTGGGCAGCTCTTCGCGCGGGCGGATCTCAGCAGCATCTGCTGCAGATCGATGGATTGCTGCCGTTGCAGCTCTTCCAATCGCTGCACCCGCAATGATGGCACGAAGGGCGCCATGGTGTGAAGAAAATCTGCAAATTTCAAATTTGGACCATTTGGGCAGTCTTCTGCTCCTTGAGTCTTGCTCGTTGTCACCGCTGTGTATCATTTGTGTTGCGTTTGTGACTTTGCTTGTTGTCATCGGATTGAAAGTTCACGTTTGACGCTTGTGTTTGCTCCGTTCTTGTCGATGTTGTCGTTTCTATGTTCACTTCTTTTCGCTGCTGATGCCGCTACCATATCCTTGCAAGTCTTTGGATGCTCTGTGCTCATTTTGATCCTTCCATTCAAATGTTTGACATATATCAACTGAAACAGCAACCAGAAGCTCGTGACAACCAAGTCAGAACTGGGATGAGGGATGGTTCTGTCAATGTGGCTTTACCTTCTAAAATTTCAAATTGACATGGTTTGTGCGGTTTGTGGAGCAAAAGAAACAACATAGGAGCCTCCACGGATGTATCACTGACACCCAGTCCAATTCGCAAAGAAAATCAAAGTACACCAAGGTGCTAAGCAGTGCTAAGTTGGTTGTGTATCTTGTTCACCCACATTGCAGAGGTACATATGTGTCAAAACCCTGGTACCCTGGTGAATCCAAAATAGCTCTTGAAATGTTCATCCTAAATATTGCATCGCGGATTTTAAGATTTTTAAGCCATCCCCACATGACTCGCACCATTCCTTATGTTCCAAGCGACTCTGATCAAACATCTGCAGGCAGAGTACAGTTTACACACCAATGTCACAAGATGAAGTCAGGTCACGCAACGCTTGGATGCAAATAATATGACGTGTAAAATTAAGAATGCGCAGCGAAGGTTCAGGTTGGCAAGATTCTGACATGTGGGACACGAAGCCATCAGAATCAAAAATCTTCGCCATGCAGTCTCTCCTTTTTTAATGGAATGCACCCGATCCAAACCATGGTCCTTCTAAAGGAAGTTCGCCTGCAAAGATGCAAAGGTGACAAAACGTGGCTGGCAGACTCGACGACTCGACCAATTGCAAACATGGTCATGTAAGTCATGTACCAATTGTGGTCCAGCCTTGCTCCTGACAGGCCGCGCCTGAACATAAACTCAATAGTGACGAAAAATGCTTCAAAGTCAATAACTAAAAGCAATGAAGTAGGTGTTCTTCAATACAACCCAAAACTTGGGATGACACCAGGATTAAAAAAGGGAGTAAAAACATGTTAGAACAAGACCATTTAATACCATTTATATCATATTACGCACCTCCGTGAAAGAGTCCAATCCCATCATCCCAAGAAAGCAACATGAATTAGACAGACAGTTCTGCCATATTCTGCCACATTCTCAGTGCTGCCTAGATACGCCAGGAGCACAGAGTGACGCAGCCCACAATTGTGGCCCTGCGAAGGCTTGCACCGTCTGCACTTCAGCGACATCTTTGACATCCCCAAGGTTTGGCTTCGAAGGCGTCGAAGGCGTTGGCGTCGGAGGCTTCGGCGCAACGTGCTCCTCCACCCACTTTAGGATGCTGGAAACAGACCTGCACAGCGGCACAGCAGACCCACAAGCACCCAAATGCACCCAAAGATTCATAAAGATTCAATTATTTCATACATGCTGGACAGTTGGATGTAATACTTTAGGGCATTTATATGGTATCATTTAGCATCATTTAGCCATCCACTGGAATATGTGAATAGACTCGACTATTCATAGTAGACATCCAGCTCAACTTCCATAGCGCCACCCGATGTCAGATTCAACGATTCAACTAATCTTGGCCTTCCACCGTGGAACTCCTCAGTGCTGTTTGGCCCGAAGAATTTGATGGTCGGGAAACCTGGGACTCAAATGAACAGCCTGTCATTGAATAGGAGGCCACAAGAGATCCAAGAGACATCAAGAGACATCAAGAGACATCAAGAGACATCAAGAGACATCAAGAGACATCAAGAGACATCAAGATACTATGATGGTCTATGTTCCTGTCTTGGATACTTGATTCAAAGCCACCACATGGTATGGAGTAATATCACTAACCGCAAAGACCTTCCTACCTGCCACCGAAGGTGTCAGGAACCTTGGACTGAAACCATGATAACATACAATGGGCCTCCCCTCACAACATGCCAGCCAGGAAAAGCCTGGACCCCCCAGCGAGCACCTTAGCGCATCGTCTCGCTGTCATACACCAGATATCTTGCAAATCTTGCGATATCTGGATGTGTTGGCCAAAAAGGGGTAACGGACGGAACCATACCACGTCCCAGCATGTGCCCCACACCCGGCCAACGGTGTGTGCGAAAAGAGTCAGCAACAGTGGCCTTCATTACCACACGACGCCAGCTCAGTCCGTGGGTAGGGCAAGGGTCACTTCAGAAATCCAAAGAGACAAAAATTAGATGAAATAAAGAGCAGACCTGGGTGAAACGTTGTCAGCACGGCAGAACTTTCAAGGATTTCTTTTTGTCCCTTTGGTTTCGGAGGAACGACATCCAGCATATCCAGCCAGGAATCCAGCCAGCAACCCCTCTACCCACCTTGGATGTCAGCTTTCTTACATTCCTCCAGGTCTTTTCCTGGGGCCCACCCCTTTCCAAAGCACTCCTTAGCGGACATCGGCCGAAATGCCACAAGGAGGTACTCTCATCAACATGTCCGGTACTCATTCCATCTGGCTTCCATATTTCACTTTCGAGGTCTGTCATCATGTCAATCATATCTTTATGCCTCTGTGCACGATGATGACAAACCCTGTGCGTGTGTGGCTATGTGAAAACATGACATATGTGAGACATCTCCGAGGCAGCCCATTGAGGACCATTGATGTTGTAAAGTCTACAAAGTGGTGCGCGGTCGGGGCACCTTCTGCTCCCACAGGATGTTCTTTTTGGATGCCGTAGCAGCTTTCAGATCGTTCCAAATGGGCTCCATGGATTGACAGTGAGGACAGCTCTTGGCCACATATTCCACCACCTCAATGAAACTCAAATCTTGCAATCTGCTACAATCATCAACTGATCATCAACTGTTGAAACTACAAGTGGACTGTTCTATGAAGATTCTATGATGTTCTATGCCCCTCTCTGATAGATCTGGCAGGGTATGATATCCGCACCTTCACAGGTGAAGATGGGTCGACCAATGCAAGCTGCTCCTGTCGGGTCTCTTCCAAGGGAGCAATTCGTTCAGGTCGTGCGCCGTGTTGAGCAGCAAACCTGGGGTCTATCCGAGTCTATCGGTCGATCGCCGCTGAAAGTTCCAGACCGAGCAAAATGAAGCAAAATGAAGCAGCAACACGAAGCAATGGACTGAGACTACTGAGACTACTGAGATTGGGACCCAATCAAGTTCTCGGGAGTGCGATCACCAGAGAAGTCTGCAAACTTTTTGCCAGACTTACCTCAGTGAAGAACACCTTCGATGCACTACACCCCATCACAGTGCCAGCAAAGAAATTCACCAGACTGCCAAGGCGCTAAAGAATCGAACGGTGGGGAAGCTGTGGATCCCTTCCTTCATGCACTCGTCATGGTCTTTGCCTTCACCCCAGTTTTCACCGTAGCACTCCTTCTGCTCCCATTTCACGGCATCCTTCCAGCTCTGTCTCAACAGAAAGGGCAAAAACATGCAAAAACCCACTGTGTCTTTTCTGCAGACTCAAACAAACCACTGAACGGCTAGCTATCACAGCCATGAAAAGACTGCAAACACATCAGCAAAAGTTCAAACAAGTGGACTCTCCTCTGGATGATCTGTGGACCACTTGTGAGTGGCTTCCTTCCAAATGGGCTCCAAATGTTTGCAATGAGGGCAACTTTGGGCAAAGAACTCCACCATCCGACCTGAGCTGGGCCGAGATCGCCGAGACGGCGATCCAAACCCCCAGGAGCTGCAGCGGACCTCCTCCCCATGCTTCGTTGGCGCCAGTTTCCGCGGGTTCCTGCACCTGCAAAAACTTTGGTGTGTTGGCAACGGCCGAGACATACGATTCCGCAAAAACACAAAAACACAGTGTTGGCAGGCACCTGGCTTGGTGGCACATCACCATGCGCTGGCAGCACTTTGGCAGGACCTGACAACGACGGCATCATTCATACACCATCAGAATTTGCCGGAATGCTCGAGAAAACCGTGGACAATGTCGAAAGAAAGGACCCTTCCAGTTTTGCAATTTGCCATTATTTGCCTCTATCAAGAAACTGCCTGACAAAGCATGAGCACGTACGCAACTGGCAACTCACTTTCGGAGCCGCAAAGCAATCAATCAATCCCCACCTAACGGCTGAAAGTGATCACCCAACCAATGCCTGAGCCAAAGATTTGACATGCCCCAAAGGGCAGGAAATGTCACCTGACATCTATCTCAGGTGATGCAGCAGTGGTAGTTATCTAAAGTTGATGTTACAAGTAGGGTACAAGTACCGTTCTTTTCACATATTTTTTTGCCCTGACGGAAAGACTCATTTTGCGATCAAGCTCTTCTATGGGCAACGGTGGATCTCATCTCACGGCCAAAAAACTCTGGTCATGTCTGGTCCGTTTCAACTCACCGACTTGAGGGAAGATGATCAGCGAAGCCACGCGATGGAGTGTCCGGTTTCTCGAAGTGCACGCATGGCAGGGGCGGCACTGATGAAGGACACCTAGAGTAGTCTCACTAGACGCGACTTGGCAAAGCCTTCAAAAGAATCTCACATCATGTAGCAGGAAATCCTGTGAAATCAGCTGCTAAAGAAGGACTCTAGCATTGGCTTCTGTGAAGAAGACTGGCACAAACAGATATCGTCATAGAGTAAGTTTGAAGTGTCCACCTAACTTCGGCGAGACCATAAATGCTCGAGTGGCAGCATCCGTGACCATGGGTGAGTGCATCACCTCGATACCTGAGCCGCAAGACATTTGGTTCCCGCCGACCGCGACAACACTTGGCACAAAGTGGATTCTGGCACAGTAAGAATTCTGAGTTCAGTGTATAAAGGGAAAATCCACGAACATCAGGCCTCTATTTTGATCCAACCTTGATTTGTGCCCATGTGCCTTTGACCCGGTGAGGCGTGCTGCAGACAAGAGTTTTTTGCTAAGGGAAAGTGCCACAGGTGTTGCTTTGGATTCTTGGGGTTCAGGGCTTTAAGAAGCCATCCTAAATATGGTCATATTCTGTAACTCTCAAACTGGGTTTATCATTCTCAACACCGATCCAGATATATCCAGATCCATCGCCAGGTGGCCGTGTTGAATCACCGTGTCATGAACCATCGCAAGGTTGGAACCTTGGAAACAAATGCCCGATGCGCACCGACAATCCGATGACAATCCGATGACAATCGGATGACACGTCCAAGCTGAGGAACCAAAAGCGCTGGAATTTCCAGCACGTGACTGACGTGACCCATGAAGTGTCTATATATCTGCCATACTAAGCTTGAGAACAAACGCGGCGACCACGGAAATTTGGTAGCAGTAGACACCCAAGAGAAAAGCGGTGGTCTGCTGGTCGCTTTGAACAAAGTACGCAGTTGTTTCTCAAGGTGCATGAAAACCGAGAAATCTTGGGAATACCTGGATTGGAACCACAAAAAACTTGAAAAGGGAGCTGCAGAGCAGTCCAGGGCTGTTTTACTTTTACCCCCAGCTTTGTGACTCAGGAGCTTTGTCCTCACCAGGCACCGGAGAAGCCAACAGGAATTGGAACAGACTTTTGGTGGCAGATTTGCCCACGTCGGCCACGGCGGCCACGGGCATCCGGAAATTCTCACTCTCCTCCAACAAGAGGTGAAAGCCGGCCCTGGCAGGGAGAGCTATGTGGTCCAGCACTACAAAAGGATCAAACCAAAAACACAAGATCAGGTTGGAAACACTGACAACACCCCAACATATCTAGATATTCCAAACCTTTCATTCCCCAAACAGTGTCCTGTCTTTCTTAAGGTGTCCGCCTTGGTATTGGATGGCGCGTCCGCCTTCCCGAGAGTCTTGCCTCCCTTTGTCCCCCATTATACCCCTTCTTGTTTCTCTTTGTTGGATGGTGTCTCCGCCTTCCCGAGGTCTTGTCTCCCTTTGTCTCCCATTGTACCTCCTCTTGTTTCCCTTTGTTGATGGTGTCTTTTCTCCGCCTTTCCGAAGGTCTTGTCTCCCCCTTGTCTCCCATTGTACCCCTTCTTGTTTCCCTTGGATGGTGTGTCCGCCTTTCCCAGGGTCCTGTCTCCCTTTGTCTCCCATTGTACGCCTTCCTGTTTCCTTTTGTTGGATGGCGTGCCCGCCTTCCCGAGGGTCTTGTCTCCCTTTGTCTCCCTTTTTGCCCTTGCTTGTTGCCCTTAGATGGTGCATCCACCTTCCTGAGGGTCTTGTCTCCCCTTGTCTCCCATTGTGCCCCTTCTTGTTTCCCTTTGTTAGATGGTGTGTCCGCCTTTCCTAGGGTCTTCTCTCCCTTTGTCTTCCATTGTACCCACTTCTTGTTTCCCTTTGTTGGATGGTGTGTCCGCCTTCCCGAGGTCTTGTCTCCTCTTGTCTCCCATTGTCTCCCTGCTTGCTTCTCTTTGTTGGATAGTGTGTCCGGCTTCCCAAATTATTTCCCAGCTTGTCCACCAGCTGGTCTCCCAGCTTGTCTCCCAGCTTGTCTCCCTCATTGTTTCCCTTTGTTGGATGGTGTGTCCGCCTTCCCGAGGCTTTGTCTCTCCTTGTCTCCCAGCTTTTCTTCCTTCTTGTTTCCTTTTGTTGGATGGTGCGTCCGTCTTCCCGAGGCCTTGTCTCCCCTCGTCTCCCATCGCCTCCCAGCTTGTTTCCCTTTGTTGGATGGTGTGTCTGCCTTCCCGAGGCCTTGTCTCCCCTTGTCTCCCATTGTCTCCCTTCTTGTTTCCCTTTGTTGCACAGTGTGTGTCCGCCTTCCCGGGGCCTTGTCTCCCTGTTTCCCCAGCTTGTCTACCAGCTTTGCTTGTCTGCCAGCTTGTCTTCCTTCTTGCTTCCCTTTGTTGGATGATGTGCCCAGCTTGTCTCCCCGCTTGTTACCCAGCTTGTCTCCCAGCTCTCCCAGCGTATCTCCCAGCTTGACTCCTAGCTAATCTTCCAGGCAGTCTCCCAGCTTGTCTTCCAGCTTGTCTCCAGCTTCTCTTCCTGCTTGTTTCCCTTTGTTGGATGGCGTGTCCATGTCCCGACGCTTTGTTTTCCCAGCATGTCTCCCAGCTTTGTTTCCCTTTGTTGGATGGTGTGTCCGCCTTCCCGAGGTCTTGGTCTCCCCTTGTCTCCTATTGTCTCCCTTCTTGCTGCGTCCGCTTTCCCGAGGGTCTTGTCTCCCCTTGTCTCCCTTCTTAATTTCCTTCGTTGGATGGTGTGTCCGCCTTCCCGAGGCCTTGTCTCCTTTGTCTCCCAGCTTATCTTCCTTCTTGTTTCCCTTTAATGGATGGTGCGTCCACCCTCCCTTCCCTTGTCTCCCTTGTCTCCCTTGTCTCCCAGCTTGTCTCCCAGCTTGTCTCCCAGCTTGTCTCCCAGCTTGTCGCCCAGCTTGTCTTCCAGCTTGTCTCCCAGCTTGTCTTCCTTTTTGTTTCCCTTTGTTCATGGTGCGTCCACCTTGCCAAGGCTTTGTGACCCTTGTCTTCCAGCTTGTGTCCCTTGTCTTCCTTCTTGTTGGATGGTGCGTCCGCCTTCCCGAGGTGTTGTCTCCCCTCGTCTCCCAGCTTCTCTCCCAGCTTGTCTTCCTTCTTGTTTCCCTTTGTTGGATGGTGCGTCCGCCTTCTCAAGGCCTTGTCTCCCAGCTTGTCTTCCTTCTTGTTTCCCTTTGTTGGATGGTGTGTCTGTCTTCGAGGCCTTGTCTCCTAGCTTGTCTTCCAGCTTTTCTCCCAGAGTGTTTCCCATCTTGTCGTCCAGCTTGTCTCCCAGCTTGTCTTCCTTCTTGATCTTCTTGTTCCCCTTGGTTGGATGGTGCATCCGCCCAGGCTTTGTCTCCCTTCTCAGCTTGTCTTCCTTCTTGTTTCCCTTTGTTGGATGATGTGTCCACTTTCCCGAAGCCTTGTCTCCCTTGTCTCCCAGCTTGTCTTCCTTCTTGTTTCCCTTTGTTTCTCAATACCCAGTGTTGCGACAAGGCTAGCGAAGCCGAAAAACAATAAACGTGACGTGGTCAGCACTTATTGCAGACATTATCGTGATTCCTGCGGCTGCTATTTCATGTGTTTGACCTGTTCCTCAAAGCACTTTTCCACCCACTGTTTTGGGTCTACGGTGGTGTAATTTTATATATTGCATATTATACATTACACTATCATAAATATAGTTTGAGATCGCATCAGTGAAAGCTGCGGCGGACTCCCACCTCTCAAGTGCGCTCAATAACTGATTCTCCAGCTCTCCACCGTCCTGCATAGCGACATCATGAACATCATGGCTCTCCATGCAGCACCGTCGGCCAACGGCCGCAGCAAAGTTGTCCGGCGTCCGGTGTCCTGACCACGTCCCCACCATCGCCGGAAGGGTTCCACCACCACCAGTCGAGCTTCAGGCTCTTTCCGAAGAACTCGATGCGCCTCCTCAAGCACCTCCGAAACATGGCAACCAGAACCACAGAGGTTGAACTCATCTAAGATATACTAAGACGGTAATCAAAATCATTCAAAATCCATGTTTCGAAAAAAAAAAAAGATGCCCCAATCCATGGCGATACGGCATAGTAAAGGGCTTATGAATTCAGCATGATCTCTCTGCAAGAAGTGCAAGAACTTTCCGGTCTGTTTTTCAATTGCCACTGTTTGTCCAATGCTTCAGCTTGTCCTTCCGAAGTTAGGTTTGGTTATCATCCGACATGGCACACAATGTCTTCGCCTTCAAGTAGTCAAGGCTCCAAAGGGCTCTGCAAAGAACTGCCACTTCGTATCGATCTGTCCAATCATCTGGAAGCGAACCCAAATTCTGAACTACCTCAGTGGAAAGAATCCGCAGGATCAGAGTCTGATCTTGTTCTCTTCTCTGTTTCAATGCAAAAGTATCAAGCTGATATCACCTGATTATACAATCAATCTCCACAGTCTTGCCAAGGAACTACGCGGGGTGCCAAGCGAGCAGCGTCCACGCTGGTCACCTGCAGAATTATGAAGCAGATTTGGTCAAAATTCTTCTCTGTTACTGCAAAAAAAAGTTCCCTTCTCTGTTTTCACATGCAAAGGGTGGATGCGATGTGCTCTTCCACTTCTCTAATCATCCTATCAAATTGGATCTACAAGTAGACGCAAGGTTTCAATTTTCAAACGTGATGTTCCTCTGGAACCTCTTGTAAATTGAACATGTGCTGTTGTATCCATGTTCCGTGATTCACCTTGGCTTCTTTCATAAATCCTTCATAAGAAAGCATGGTTTGTTGAAATGTTGAGTTATGCTTGGTGGGCTTGGTGGGTGATATTTATCACACTGAGAACAAAAACACAACCCCTTTCCTAATCTAAAATACCTGCATTCACCCACCATACAACCCCAATAGCAAAGTTTCCAACATTACCATATAGATCAATAGTAAACAATGCTGTCCACTGTATCGAATATTCAAGAGATGTCAATGTGATTACCAGAATCATCAAAAATAGTGGTTCAAAAAAACACATCAAAAATCATCCAACATCCATAAACCTCCATAAACATCCAAAACCATCCACCCAGTTTTGCATTTTTTGAATCAAAATCTACCCCGGTCAGTCCTTTGCCCAGCCGCGTAGCGCCAACTCGGCCGCCAGGGCAGCATCGCCGCAGCCCAGGTCGACCATGGGGGCCCTGGTCACCAAATATTCAATGGATTGGTTTAAGGGAAAATCTAGAAACCATCGATTTTTGGCTTTCCTGCCAATTTTCCCTTAAACCAATCCATTGAAATATGAAACATAGATATGAAATGAATTGAAACATAGATGAAAGTTTGGATTTGGAGTGGAAGACAAGTTCCATCAATTCTGGGATTCCATTATCGGCTCGCCATTCTTGAGCCAACTATTTCATCCAATCAAGACCTAGCACATGCATGGTTTGAAGTCCACTGCAAGTCTGTTTCACCTCACCTTGATGGCTAGTTCTATCCCATCACAAGCCAAGAAAGAAATGCAAGGCATGGTGTACGTGAGTCTGGATGCATTGGTAGACATCACTGTCGGCCTCTGGCAACAAGTACTGCAAGCGATTTGTCGCTTACATGAAAAGAACGGGTAAATTTCCAATATTTCCACCCTGGTGGGTCATGCTTTCCTTGTACCATCTAAGACAGTTCTGCAAAAAGGAACGAGGTTTGAACAAGTTTTCGAAACTTATCACAGAAACTCATGCCATCTCATGCCGTACAGCACCGGCTCCTGGCATTTTGGAATGTTTCAAGAAAGGGTGCAGCAATATGAAGTATGTAGAGGCAGTCAGCAAGCAACAATCTAGGGTCTAGGTTGCCATAAGTAGTGGTGTAATGGCATAGCGCGTATTTAGTTTCCAATGGAAACCAATAGCGAGAGAACAGAACTCTCTCATCCTGCGCCCTCAACCCTTACATGCCACCAGCAACACTGGTTGGAAGTAGAACCACTTGGCGTGTCAACATTCCCAGTGCTTTCTGACCACTTCACCACCTCCGGTCTGCCTCTTGCTGAGCGGAATGTGCTTCTCAATGAAGTCAGCAGTCCGGACACAGACAGCGTTTCCAGGGCCTGCCATGCCTTCCTCCTGGCATTTTGCAATGGCTGTCAGAGTCATCTACATCGACACACGGCAATTGTGTTTACTACAGGTCTTGCATCCGCTGTGCGTGTTTTTGCTTTCCTCCCAGCAGGGCAAGAAGGTCTAAAAAAGTCATAAAAGTCTGAAATCATCTGAAATCTAAAAGATCTAAAAGATCTAAAAGATCTAAAAGATCTAAATCTGAAACATTCGAGGCATGTCACTCCTTTGCAGCATCCAGGTATTGAGGCAACAAATCCGGGCGTTTGGAGACCGTCTCGAAAAAGTCGTTGGAGTCCATACTCTTCATCCAGCCATGCCACGTGGCCACACACGAAGGCACGTTCTTCTCCGAGAGCCTGCGTTTAATTTGGCCAGCCATTTCCGAAATTGTGGCGAAACCAACTGGAACAAGGGGAACAAAAATCATAGAATTCAAGAGAGAAACAGTTGGAAACACTAAATCCGCCCGCACCGAAGGTGCTGGGGCGTGATCGTCCGGATGGCACTCGTAAAAGGTTACAGGTTTACCTGGGGGGGGGCATTTTTCGGCCAAAACCTCCTGTTTTTGATAGGTCGTGACGCTCGCCTTCAAAAAACACTGTAAAAAACAGTACGGAAGACACCTGTTCGTGAACGCGCCCGTCCAAAATCGGCAAGCGAAAAGTGAAAAAACCCCGTGTTTTTCAACTTTTTGACCTCAATTTTTTGGTTTGCAACATCTTTTTTTGCGGTTCCGCAGGTGGCCTGGCCCGGAGGCGGATTTTTGAGTTTTTGGACCCGTTTTCGGACTGATTTTCGTCGTTTTGTGATAGCAGAAACACTGTTTTTACTGTTTTTTTGTTTTCTGCATGCTTGACGGCTAGCTTCAAAACTTCCAAAAACCTCGTAAATTACGCTGTTTTATGTTACGGTGTGAATGAAAACATCGTAAATACCAGTGTTTTTTGACGTTGGTTAAAAAAACACTGTAAATTACAGTGTTTTTGGCCACCTGACCCTCAAAAACCATGGTATTTGCAGTGGTTTCTGCTTCTCACCGCGCAAAAACACTGTAAATAACAGCAATTTCGCCGTTTTTTCATGTTTTTCGTTATTTTTTGAACTGCGTTGGTCCGCTATACATGGCTATCAAATTCTTCGCGTTTTTTTCCGACAATCAGTACTTTCGGATGTTTTTGGTCTCAATGGCCGACATCATTGGCAGTTACGAGCGGTCGCGAAGGTGTGAGAACAACATCGTTCAAACCGTGGCGGCCGCACAGGGGTTCTTGTCGCGGAGCGACGGCAATAGAAGAGAACAATGGCAGTAGAAGAGAACAATGGCTGACATCATTAACAGTGTGGACCGTTCACTCGATATGTACATATATGATCTTTATATATATATATAGATATATCTCTCTATCTATCTATCGGTCTATCTTTCTCTATCTGTTTTGGTTGGCCGACATCTTTGCCAGTGTGGAGCGTCCAGACAACAAAAGCCTACATCTTGCAGATATGATACTCATAAAGCTTTCAAATTTATTGCTTGGTGCAAGGCAGCACCACACAACCTCAGGTTCAGTTCTTTTTTTTGCTCTGGCCGCTCACGGACGGAAAGTTCGCAAACCTGCCGTCCCAGGATCCACACCAGGCAAAAAACAAAAGCAGTATCGCCTCTATACTCTATGTCCGTTTTGTTGTTTGGGTTTCTATGAAATCTGATTTGTCGTTTCAATCACAAAGAACGTCTTCATCCGACATGCCTTTTCATCATCATGATTACCATCATCAAATCTACAATCGTGCGTGCTCTTTAAACCTTGATGTGTTGGTTTTCTATGGAAACGGTCATCATCATGATCACCATCATCATATCTGCAATCGCACGTGCTCTTCAAACCTTACACAAGGGAAATAAAGGCCTTCTTTGATTGGGTTCCTTACCACCTGCTGCAGCGCCCCCTGCCTGGGAACCATGAAGAAACACACGCTCACCTGGAGACTGGTCACACACAATCCAGGCGTTGTTTACCGGCTGTAAAGATTTATTTTATATACATATACATGTACAAGTGTATATCTGTATATTTCTACATAAGCATATGTAAAAGTATTTACATGGTGTATACCAATGCAATACATATGTAAGCAACCTATTACCGCCACAATGATCAGAGCTGCAAATCACGCTGGCTGATCCACATAAAAGACCAAAACATTACTTGAGAACAGGGAGATGACAAAAATGAGACCGAATGAGAAGAAGGGACCAAAGGGCGGAAGGAAGGGCATTGGTGAACATGCAGAAGGTGCGAATGACGATGACAATGCTGATAATGATGATCATGATGATCATGGTGGTCAGGATCATGATGAAGATGATGATGATGATGATGATGCTAATGATAATGATGGCGATGATGATGATGACAATAAGGAGGATCGCAGGACCTCAGAAACTTCAACTGTCAAGCATGCAATGATATGCCCATCAAATGTGTATCTAAATCAATATATGTACATTTATACAAGTTATACATATATGTATCTATTCAAATATGTCACATAGCTTATACAGCTAACCGCAAAAGTCACGGCAAAGAAATGAAAAAGCGACATCCCAATGGCACACCGCGCCACGAACAAGTCACGGCAAAGTTATTGCAAAGTCCTCTTTCGCTTGACGCATCGGCGAGTCACAAACTTGTCTATGTTGTGTGCATCGCAGGACGATTAGCATGGACATTGGTATCCAAAAGCCTTTACAGGACCAGCTTGTTTTGGACGCTGCCCCCTGCTCCCAATGCTGTGACCTGCTCCCACAGCGGCGCATTTTTCTTCGAACAAATCTACCTGGTCCTCCTTCTCCACTCCAAGCACCAAAACGTTTAACCCAACCTTCTCCAAACGTTTTGCGAAGGATTGCACCGTTTTCAAGGCAGGCGCATTGAACACAACAAGCGGAGGTTCTAGATACCTTGCCAGCTGCACCGTCACTGCAGCAAGCAATGTCGTTTTGCCCCCTCCAGCAAAACTGGACACCACTGTGACCGTCCCATTGATGCCGGACAACACCCGGCGCTGATCTGCAGAGAAGCTGCCAATCCCAAGACACACCGCTGCCTCTCGTAGAAATACTTCTCGCTGGGATCCCAGATAGCGATCCCAGACCGGGCTGGGGACAAACTCCATTGGTTGGCTGAGACACAGCCAAGCATTGAAAGCGTTGGCTTTCAACAAACCATCCAAACCCTCAATTGACGTCCCAGCTAAGCCTCCAACGTCATCCTCCAACATTGGCCTCAGCCTGACCAAAGCCTCGTGCATGTGGATGAACTCATGGATATCTGCCAAGATCACGACCACGACCTGCGTCCCTGCATCTAAATCTACCACTGGCTGAACAGACACTTGGTCTTGCCGAAAACTGCCCACATTCGACACATACTGCACAGTGCCTCGCCCGTACAAACCAGCCTCTGGCGCAGCAATCCAGGCCCATACCTGCTGCGTTGAACAAACCCAAATCATCTTGTACTTCCAGTCTCGGTTTCGGTCTTCACCCACCAGCAACATATGGGTCACGTTAACACCACTGCGCTTCGGCTTCACGACATCCCGAATGACAGCTGGGAATGGGCCCCGAACATCCTCATTCTCCCGGACAGTTTGCTGCAACTTCCTCTGCAGCTGCCCCAACAGCACGGTCACCATCTGTCGCGGCGAAGCCCGCATGCCTCCCATAGGAAGAAAACCGGTCTGCCCCTGAGGCACACTAATGATCCAGGTTGCCAAATTCACTTGTTCCACTGGCCGATCCTCATTGCCCAAAAATTCTGCTATGGACACTCTAAACACAGGGTTTTCTGTCAGAGTCAAAAGACCAGGCTGCAAACCCCTCATCCCGCGAAGATATTTGGCGGCAGCCTCCAACCTGCGAACATGCTGCCGGCTTCCACCCGGAGCACGATTCTCGGCAGCAAACTGCCCCGCTTCCTTGATCTTGGCCAACAACTGGTCATGTCGCCCAATCAAGCTACTGCATTCCTGCCCATCTTCTGGAAGAGCAACTTCACCCAAACACACTGCAGTAACATAGCCATTACTCACGAGCTGAGGTTCCCGGATCAATTCTACAAATCGATCCACCTTGCAGACACGAACAGACATAGCCACATCTTGCCGCTCCAAAGGCCCATCACGCAGCCTCACATAGATGGTCCGGAGCTCTGAAAATTGAAACCCAGGAAACAAATCTTCCAGAGGCACACTACCAAGCCGATGATTGTACGCCACAAGCGTTGCCATGGCTTCTCGCTACAGGTACAAATCCCCTCGGCTCCAAGAGCACGAGAACGGAAAACCGCCGCACAATCCAATGATTTTAAACCCATGAAAATTGCCATGTGTGGGGTATGCCCCATTTTCAGATCCCCATTTCTAACAAGACGATAGCGTTTGTTGGAACCGCTGACTTTCAATAACAGAAGCAAACATCTGCCCCATCTATTGACATGGGCAGGACTTGTGTTGCTAAAAAATATATGCATTTGCGCGAGTGAAACATAAATTGGACCATGGAGTTTGCTAAACTCGACCCATGTCATGGAGTTCACCCACCACTCGTTTTGCTAAATGTTCTACAGCATTTGTGCGAGTGCAATTCCGGAAATTCGGCATACAGCCTGAAATCCCAATTCTTCACAAGTTGTCACCATATCAGCTAAATTTCAAGGCATATCCCCACAATTCATATGGCCCAAAATATGCTACAGTCCAGTAACTCCATTTTAGGATCCTTTTTATTCCCATTGACCATGATAGTTTTTGGTTTTACCAGATCCAGTCATTATTAGCTAAAAAATATCTGCATTTGCGCGAGTGCAACATAAATTGGACCATGGAGTTTGCTAAACTCGACCCACCAGTCATGGAGTTCACCCACCACTCGTTTTGCTAAATGTTCTACAGCATTTGTGCGAGTGCAATTCCGGAAATTCGGCATACGGCGTGAAATCCCAATTCTTCACAAGTTGTCACCATATCAGCTCAATTTCAAGGAATATCCCCACAATTCATATGGCCCAAACTATGCTACAGTCCAGTAACTCCATTTTAGGTTCTTTTCTATTCCCATTGACCATGATGGTTTTTAGTTTTACCAGTCATTATTAACCCCTATTAACCACTATTCACCACTTTTAAACACTATTCATGGGCTACCTCAGTGGATGGCCTCCTGTAGCTCGATCTCACCACCAATGCGTCGTTCGATCCAATCGGCCAGAGGGACCTTAGGACAATGACAAAATCCGTGGCGAA